TGGGTGCTGGTTCCAGGGACGTGTTCAGTTTGTGAAAAACCATCAAGCTAAACATTTATTGTCTTTGCCCTTTAATGGGTGTACACTAATCTTCAATAAAAAGCTGAAAATGGTTTTTAAACATTTATAGAGCTAGCATTTGGTGAATTTAAGCTGCACGCCACATTAAACTCTTGACCTCACCACGCCCTCCTTCCTCTGTCCTCTGTCCTGGCTTCCACTCTTGGGCCTTGCCCAGCACCCATATTCCCATGTTCCCCAGGCTGGCCTGCTTCTGGAGGCTCAGGTTGTGCAAACTTTATTTTTTTAAAAAATATTTTATTTATTGTTTTAATTTTACGTGTATGAGTTTATTGCTTGTATGTAGTTAGGTGTACCATATCATACAATGCCAGTGGAGTTCAGAAGAGGGCATTGGATTCCCCTGGAACTGGAATTATGAATGGTTGTTAGCTGCCATGTAGGTGCTAGGAATATAACCTGGGTCTTTTACAAGTGCAGCCAGTGCTCTTAACTGCTGAACCATCCCTCTAGCCCCAGCATACACAATTGAAAAAAAATCTTCAAAAAATAAAATCTTTTAAAAATTGACCCAGAATCTAGTTAGGGAATGATAGGAGAAAGAAGGAGACAGTGGTTCCTGCTCTTGAAGTTCTTGAATACATACAGTGTGTGGTGTGTGGCAGGGGAGAAGCCCTGAGCAGTACATAGACACAGCACACTATATGATAACATGAAATGTTGGGCAAGTCATAATAATGGAGCCCAAGAAGTGCAGTAATTCTGCAGTGGGGCTTATCTATGCCTGTAACAAGAAAAATAAACAACTTTTTTCCCCAGGCTGGGCTAGGTGGAGAGAAAAATGTGTGTACAAAAGCTGGAAGCCAGTAGTAATTGGTGCGTCCAGATCAATCCAAAGTACATATGTGAGGTAGAAGGTGAGTAGCCTTGTGGGAGAGTGACAGGATATTAAACTGAAAATGCCGTTAGATTCTGAACACAGTGATGATGAAGGCTGGACTGGAAAGCTGCTTAGCATGTTTTAGACAAAGTTGCAAGAGGGAAGATTAGTGGTTAGATTTGTGTTTCAGAAAAGCAGCTCTGGCTGTCATTGCAGAAGGTGTATGTGTGTGTGTGTGTGTGTGTGTGTGTGTGTGTGTGTGTGAAAGAAGTATCATGTCACATTGCCTAGATTTCTATTTCACTTGTTTCTTACTATCTTTACAATTTCAGGAAATTAATTTT